CTGTGACTGGGCATGGGCCTGGATTGGAACCAAAAAAGAGCTGGTTATCTGGTTAGAGTCGCCTGCCTGGCCTCTCGCCCATTGACATTTAAATTATTTGTTCGAAACGAAAAAATGCCACCGAACAAGCATTCGCCCATGTTGTTGGTACCTTTGTTGTTGCTGTCACGTGATGTCAGCAAGGGGCAAAATACCAATAAGGAGAATAAGGAAAATAATAAAAAACAATTTTTCATCTTAACTGACAGTGAAATAAAATACTCTCCGTTTTGGAGGCTTATGCAATCAGAGAGCCAGCAGCTCTCAGTCTTAATGGACAATTGGCTTAACGGGAGACAAAAGGGCCACACCCAGGCCCTCCAGCTGCCTCCCTTCTTGTCCACTAGTTCCACTCCCTCCCCCAGCTTCCATCCTCCATTCACTTAGCCAAATGACAGTGACAGCCGCAAGTGGGCCAAAATAAGAGAAACACACATTATGCGCCTATCAAACAACGGCAACACCTGGCCGGCTGGTAATTAAAACAAAGCTCACTCTCATTGGCCAGAGGTCTCTCTATATCTCCATATATCTATTTAAACCGATTTTTTCCAACCTCTCTGAGACCTTTTCCTTTGATGGCGGCCCCATAAAATGGCTCCATAATGTATCAATAATGTCAGGCCACAGAATGTGGTCTGTCGATTGCGTTTGGCTCGGTTGCTTGTCAGGTGTGTCGGCACGAGCGGCTTTTTGTAGGCCTAAGACCCCATGAGATCCCCCGTCAGCCCCGCCACTATCGCCCCAATGATTCTCAAAGGCAGCTCTAAGCCTTTTGTCTGAGCTGATTCGCTGATTTCAACAATGAAGTATTTCTACCCTGTTGTGTGATGGACATGATAGAACTTTTTTTTTTGAAAAAATGTTTATTAGATTCTAAATTCAACAAAATATTTAAAAATCGATTTACAATCCTTTTAGATACCTTACTATCCTTAAATACTATTTATGCTTTTGAACAATAGTATAGAAGTGATAAAAATTTGTCGTAGTTTTTGAATGATTTTATAGCATAGAAAATCCCATCTCTTCTATGCATAATAATAGCTTATTTTACGCTAGCTCTACGACTATGGCTCATATTTATTTAAAGACATGTATTGTAAACAGCTTAACATAAGTCTACTTGTTCGATCTCCTCCAACGTTGCTCTCGATTTCTTTGTTTCTGTTAGATGTGATTCAGATCGGAGACCAGACCGCAAAGGTGTCAAACGCCAAAGCTAAAGTCAATAAAAATAGTTTACCCATGGGTGACTATACGTAAACCCATTCGAACTTGTACAAACACATAAATATGCATACTCGGATCTATCGGTATTTGTGTGTTATGTGCTTGACTATTTACGAGCTTGTTTGTTGTCCACTTTAAACCAGAACAAGGAAAAACTAGCAAAATGTATCTTTGAGCTACAAGCCGCATATTTCCAGCTTATTGCCAAATGTTTTGTCAGACATCGCCACAAAGAGAGAATCGAATCCGATTGAAATTGGGTTGCGACACAGAAATATCTTCCCATGCGGGTCTTTAGCATAATTTCCATTTGAACCGATGTAAGGCGGTCGCATTAGCATAGATCGGATCGGTGCGAATATATATTTGTACATAAATAGGGTTTATTGGCAAATTTATTCAATATTTTTATGAACAGTTTAGCGCAAGAATGAACTCATTAAAGTTCCATTTCGAGGCGTGGAAGCAGGTTCTTCAGAAGCCGTGTATTCAAATAATCCATAAATAACTTTGGAATTTTACAGCTTATATAATATTCCTTTTAGACTTATTAAAAAACTATTAACTAAATGCCTTTGCTTACCTCTATAATTTGCCAATTAGCTAGAAACTCTTTGCTTCTTCAACTTTTTCTACGGTGGGGATAATCCAAAACCAAATAGTTTCTAGCCAAGCTTAGAAATGATGATAATCCTCGGGGTCTCGGGTTAAGCTTGACTTAACTTGGGTCAACCCAGACTCATTTGCAGGCCATCGCCAGCGATTATTCAGTTAATTTGGCTTCAGACTAACTCAAGCAACTTGGCACAGTGACTCGTCGAGTCGAGAAAATTGCTTGCGTGCAATTAATTAAACAAATTGCTTTACTTTCACCTACTGCTGAGGAGGTAACAGAATCAACATTTGCATGGCATTTTTGCATATTTCTGAGGCACAACAACACTAGTACACTAACAAACACTTAGTTATTTATATTTTCCTTGGATTCTTTTCCTTTTTTTTTGTTGTTTAATATGTTGTTGTTGTTGTTATTTTGGCAGGTTTTCGGCTAACAGGAAAATTGACTCTTCGGATGTATGCGAATACTGGCTATATACCGAAAAACAACTTTTCGCGGATATTCTCCAATGTCGAGTCGCACAGAGAGAGAATCACATATCGGCCGCGGGGCAGAGGCACAGAGACTTTGAGAAAAACGACGACCCAACGACGAGGAGGAGAATCGTTCTGTACGACGAAAAGTCAAAAACTCAACTGAAACTTCTTGGGGAAAAGTATTTTTACAGACCAACGAATCCAACGAAGGCACGCGCAATAGACGATATCTTGGACTCAACAGGTCTGGGAATATCTCTTTTTCTCTCACTTCTCTCCATATCTCACAAGATTCTCTCTTTTTTGCACTTTTGAGAGAGAAGTATTCGAAACCAGTTGATCTTGTTTTGGTTTTTTTTGGCCGTGGTTACATGACGACTGCTGCCTGGCTCTGACTCCTTCGGCCAGTTCGTGTCCTAAGTCTTTTGTTTTGTTTGCATGGGCTGCGAATGCCTGGCCATTATTATCTATGAGTTATTTACGCTCGCCAATGTTTTCCTCCTTTTTGTGTTGTTGTTGTTTTGTTGGGTTTTGTTGTTGTGGCTTTTTTTAGGCTTTGCTCTTGTTATGGCCGAAACGTAGCTCGTGGCCACCGAATCGAAATTGCAGCGATCGCAGGCTCGGAGATCGTAGGAATTTTCATGGCGTCGACAGGTTTGGTCCTCTCTCTCTTAGCCACTCTTAGCCGCTCCCTCGTCGGTTCTGTCTTTCTCTGTCTGTCTGTTGGCCTCGGCAATTTGCACTGCTGCATGTTGGCTACTGTTTTCCACCAAATGGCCAAGGAGCGTAGGAGTCGTGCTAGCGGTTCAATGACCAGCGCAGGACTACGCAGCCGCAGCCTCAACCGCAACAGCAGCTTGAAAACGATTAATCACTCGAATCGCTATTGAAATGACCTTGTCACAGGTATATATCTTTCGGATCTGCTGCCGCACAAAACGTCACAACTTATTTCGGAATTTATTGCCAGAAGGGGGCCCTAAGTTTGGTTTAGTGTGCCATTGTTCTGGTCGGTCTGGTCGGTCGGTCGCCTCACATCTCCCATGACAATAAACAGCCGCAACCACGACAGCGGCGGCACTTTTGTGAGTGCGTGTGTACTGTGCTGGGTTTTGGCCAAGAACCAGTCGCTGCATGGAGTTGGATGGATGCTGCGGCCGTTCTGTCCTGTCCTGTCCCGTCCCACAACCAAACTCCGAGCCACTTGACCAGGCTCTGTAAGCGGCCAACTGGTTGCCACTTTTCGCTGCCCAAGCTGCCAAGCATGCGCCAAAGAATTTCGCCAGCGATTTTCGGAATGTCTACAATGCACCGAGTGTGCAAAGAAAAACATCAACAAAAAATCACCCAAGAATGAAAACAAAAACAAAAACAAAGGACGACTACTTTGCCGAAAGGCGTGATGAAAGGGGCGTGGCCAAATTCTGACATAAACTTGATCGGTTTGGTTAGCAAGGTACATTTTTGTAAAGTTCTTAAGATCGTCCAGATCCAGGTGCAAAATCATGTTGTTTCTTTTTTCTTGTTGCATTTGAAAATATGCAGTGGGAAGTATGAGAAACCAGTTACCTAAAAATGAGTAAAGAGTAAATAAATAAAAAATGTCCAAATTAAAATACACAAATTTCCTTTCATGATCCTGAGCCATCCTAAACCACAACAAAATATTATTTTTCAACTTCCGGAGTTAATAAAATCTCAATATTATCTTAAATACATCCGAACAATGGAATACCTAACTGTTTATTTTACGATGGGTCTTTGAACGACATTAGGGATGATAATTTGATCTTGGCCGAAACTGCGTAAGAGGTTTTATCTGAACTCGATCAGAGGGCCACACTTGAGGGATTATGGTAGTGGCGAGGAGGCAAGGACGTGTCTCGGATTGGGTTGCGATGTTACCGGTGTTGTGACAGGCGGACTCGTCCCTCGCTGGGTTGCTTATTGTTTGGCTACGCTGCCCGGGGCATAAATCAACAGGAGACTCTCCGAGCAGCCTCAGGTAGCTGCCAAAGATCACGATGAGGACAGAGACGACGGCGACGACATCAAATTCCATACGGAAAGCTGGCCCCCCCGTCTCAAGTCGAGCTCAATTAGTGCAGTCGCTTTGGTTCTTTGTGTGTGCGCTGCATTCTTTGCATGCCAAGGTGGCATTTGATTGATAATTTCGTTACGCCTCGAACATGCTCCACACAAAAACTACACAGAAAATGAATATGGAAAATAGAAAACACAAAAAAAATATACAATTTGATAAGTGTGGGTTCCCGTTCCCGGTCGCCGAGATTTATGACATGTTCATGAGGCCACTTCGATGGTTAGGATACATAAACTGCCGATTCATGGATGACTAAGTGCCCGCATCTGATTTGGTGAAGATTAGGCGCGACAATGAGACACATTTCATGCAACATTTCAGAACATATTTGGGTTGATCGAAGTCATAAACCTAACGGGAAAAGAAATGATTTCTTGGAACGAAACCCCAATATCCAACCCAAAAATTGATTAATTAAATCAAATCATTTTTCTTTTTAAGATTAAAACGTATATTTGTATATTTGATATTGCAAAAAATTTGATTTTTAATATTATTATTATAATTATGATTAGTCATAAGAGGGCAATTGGCGTATATCATTTATTGGCAACTACATTGGAAATATTTGTTGACCTGGAATCCAGGCATCTATCGAGTCAAAGTTTTTCATTTCTATATTAAGATTAAAATTGTTGAAATGTTTCATCTAGGCATAAGTTACGGGGATTATATTATATAAACACCTTAATTTGGTTATCTATCAGCTAAGTAAAATTTGGGCAAGAGCAAATACTAGTGTAAAATTTGTAAAACGTTCCTATTTTTGATTTTGGTTAAGAGTAAAATTTGTATGTATCTCATGAATATCACTGAACGAATACCCCTCGCAGCGACCCAACTCGAACGCATTGTCCTCGCCATCGTTCCGGCAACATGGAAGATCCCTCTATCCGCTAGACCCACAGCCAGAGCCAGGGCCTAGACCTCAAGTTTGAGTTTGCCGTACTTCTCAAACTTGCTGAGAAGCTCATCTCATTTCTTCACGCCGACGTATGTGACGCCCTTTCCGGTCTTGCGCAGCTGTTCCAGCAGCTCGTCAGATGTCAAGTTGGACGTTATGGCCACCGACCGGTCGTCCAGGTTGATGTTGACTTTCTCGACCTTATCTGCAAAGCGACAAAACAGTTTTTAGTTGGTAACCACCGTCTCAAGCCAAATGGAAGGCAAACCGCAGCCGATAAAGCAAGCAGTTGTGGTGCGAATAAAATGCATATTAAAGTTAAGCTCCATTATCAGAGGTATTTTTCGGTATGTGGCCAACAACTCTTGGTGTTTAAGACAGATAAAATATATAATTTTTGCAAGTCAGTGAAAGGGTAGGTAAATATGTATATAAGTATTCTTTAATGAAACATATGGTTGACCTCTTCGAGCATAATTCTTAAGAAATAAAACACCTAATCAAATACAACTAAAAATATCTTTAATTCTTCTCAAATTTTTTTATATTAATGAGTTTTAATATTGGTTGCGACAAAAATATGAATTAGTGTAGTTAAATCTTTAAGCCTAAAAGTAGGTGTCACTACATAGTACACATAATGGACACACACTCTCCATCATTGCTGATAAGGGGCCTTAATTAACCTAATACCAGTCACTAAGATTACTTACCGCCCAATTTGCCCAAGACACGCTCCACGGCACTGGCACATCCGCCGCAGGTCATCTCTACCTTGAACTCGTGAACCTTTAAAGAGTGGGAGGATGAGGATGCCAAAAGTGGGCCATAAGGAGATGCCTCTTCAGGGGGCTATTGCCACAAAAATTACTTACTGGCATTCTGCTACTGCTGCTGCTGCTGTGACGGCTCGAGTCGGTCGTCTTATTGTAGACTTGGGGTAAACTGAACAGCTTGGCGGCTTTTATCGATCGATTCCAGACGTGGCTCCAAAAATAACACTCCTTTCACCTTAAATTTTGCTTGTTCTCCAGTGCTGCCATCTTGGCCAATTTCCCGTTAAATTTAGAGGGAATTCTGTGATATCGATATTTTATATCGATACTAAATACTTGTTACTTTTTGAACTGCTTACACTGCTTTAAATAAATAAAATTTTAACTTTCCCTGTAAAAGCTTAAGCCAAACGAAACAATATTTAATTTAAGTTTATATATTAAAAGGCAACTTTTGGTTGAAAAGTCCTGTTTCTCAAAAATAGTAAAATTTATATTTCTTTAATTTTGCAGCTATAATTCTAAAGCGATTTCTTGAAATGATTTAAATGTTCGACTGGGAAATTCGAGTCGTGTGCCTCGCCATCTCAGACCCTCTTGGGACAGGAACCGAAACGGTAAACCACCTGGTGATCATACAACTGTCCCGGGTTGAGGACGATTGTTGGAAAGTCACAATGGTTAACGGCGTCTGGATATTTTTGCGTCTGCAGCGAGAAGGCTCCGTGACGGACATAACTAGCTCCGCCTTTTCCCGTGTTAGGTGCGCCGCCGCAGCTCTCATCTGGGAGGTCGTTGGCTGTCATGAACTGCAAACCCGGCTGGTTGGTGTGAACTTCCATAAACCTTCCGCTGCACGGGTGCACTACACGGGCAACCAGTTGCACCCGGTTGGGCGAGCAGTCTACACAGAAGTTGTTGTCGAAGCCGCTTAGTGGACAAGTGGCCACCTGATTAAGTCGCTTGCCGAGATTCACCAAGCTGGAGAAGTCGTAGGGAGTGCTGCGCACCCGCATCAGCTTGCCAGTGGGCAGAAGATCGTGGTCTACGTCAACGATCTTCTGGGCCTTGATCATCAGCATGTGCTGGTAGAGGGCCTCCTTTCCTGCTCCGTGTCCCGCCAGGTTGAAGTAGGTGTGGTTCGTCAAATTCACCGTGGTGGTGGCCTTGGTCCGTGCCTCGATCCTCATACCAAAACAACCGGTCTCGTTCAACGAGAAGTTTATGTTGGTAGTCAGCTCACCCGGATAGCCTTCGTGCCCATCCGGGGAGATGTGCTGCAGGGTTATACCGTCCTTGTGAACACCTACCACGTCCCAGATAACGGCATCGAAGCCAATAAAGCCGCCGTGCTGATGGTAGCGATCTCGCACATTTCGACTGACATTGATATCTTTGCCGCATAGCTTGAAACGTCCACAGGCCACCTTGTTGGCCACCCGGCCAATGGTGGCGCCAAAATAGTTGCCATTATTCCGGTAGTAACCGGCCACATCATCATAGCCGAGCACCACGTCTTCCAACTTGCCGTTGAAGTCCGGAACCTTTATCGATTGAATGGAGGCTCCCAGTGTAATTATTGACACGGACATGCCGCGCTCCGTGATCAGGGTGAACCGGCGAATCCGATCCGTTTTCTGCATCATCGGGTTGACGGCGATGCCAAACATATCCTCGATTACGCGCACCATCCTGCCCTAGATGTCCTCGTCCCTGGGGAATTACAACAATTTTGCTCTGATGCCCGAATCAAAATAAAATGTACAATTTAGATTCTGTTTCTCCAATTGCCAAAAATTTTTAATGCCCCATTAAGCCCAGGCCTACTCAGTCTAAAAACATTGATTGCTCTGACTTAAAATTTATGAGTAAATCAAACAAATAAAATGGATTCAAATATTTTAGGAGGGGCCCAACATTTTTTCGGGGCGCACCCACTCGTTGAAATCCTTCTCAGAGATTCCGGCCTTCAGGGCCTCCTCCTTGAGGGTGGTGCCATTCTTGTGGGCCGCCTTGGCGATCTGAGCCGACTTGTCGTAGCCAATATGTGGATTGAGAGCGGTTACCAGCATCAGTGACTGGTTAACAATCTGGGCCAGTTTTTCCTTGTTGGCCTTAATGCCCTTGGCACAATTGGTATTGAAACTATTACAGCCATCAGCTAAATGTAAGAGATTTTAAAGAACATTATGATACAGGACTGTAATATGTGTTATATATTCAAATTTCTATAGTTTTTATAAAGTTTGTGTAAGTTTAAACGGTTTTGACGGTCTTCCTTCTTATATAACTTTTTTAAGACAAAAGTATAACTTTTAAAATAGTTTATGCATAAAGATAGTAGTTACTCACTTAGTAGCTTTATGGAACGCAACACATTGGAGGCAATCAGCGGCTTGAAGACGTTAAGCTGAAAGTGTCCGTTTGACCCGCCCACAGTGACGGCCACATTGTTGCCAATCACTTGGGCACAAATCATGGTCAAGGCCTCGCACTGAGTGGGATTCACCTTTCCTGGCATTATCGAGCTGCCCGGCTCGTTCTCTGGCAGCTGAAGCTCACCTAGGCCGCATCTCGGTCCAGAGCCCAGGAACCGAATGTCGTTGGCAATCTTCATCAGGCTGACTGCCAAGGTGTTGAGAGCACCGTGAACCTCCACCATGGCATCGCGGCTGCCCAGAGCCTCAAAGAAATTCGGTGCCACCACAAAGGGCAGCGAGGTGAGCTGAGAGATTCTGTAGACGCACTTTTCGGCGAAGCCGCGACGCGTGTTTAATCCGGTTCCCACTGCTGTGCCACCCAAGGCTAGCTGGTAGACCCTCGGCATTACTGCCTCGATCCGCTCCAGACCATTCGTGAGCTGCTGGACATAGCCACTGAACTCCTGGCCTAGAGTCAACGGCACTGCATCCTGAGTGTGGGTGCGTCCGATCTTTATGAGGTCTTTCCACTCGTTAGCCTTCGAGTTAAGGGTGTCCTTAAGGCTCTTTACCGCCGGCTTTAGATCCTTCATCAGGGCAGTGGCCACGGCAATGTGAATGGCCGATGGAAAAGTATCGTTCGAGCTCTGCGACTTATTTACATGATCATTGGGGTGCACTGGGTCCTTGGACCCGATCTTACCACCCAGAATCTCAATGGCCCTATTGCTAATAACTTCGTTGGAGTTCATGTTACTCTGGGTCCCGGAGCCAGTCTGCCAAATGGGCAGGGGGAAGTGGCCCTCGTCATAGAGCTTTCCTGATATTACATCATCGGCGGCACTAGATATTGCCGTACTGAGTTTTGGATCGAGACCGAACTCCTGGTTTGTTTCTGCAGCAGCCTTTTTAAGAATTCCCATAGCCTGGATGATCTTTCGCTGTTCGCGATAAAAAAAAAGTTTTCTATAGTTTAAAGCCACGTAACTATTATTATATAAACTACCATTCATACATTTTTTCACATACATTACTTTAAAGTATAAATGATGTAACATATCAAAAATTAAATAAAAATGTGTAATTTTTGGGTTTCATAAGAAAGTTCCCCTCATTAAAATTCCCAAGTATTCTTTTTCGATCGCAACTCACCGGCATACGTTCCTCCTCCCCACCGATACGAAAATTAAGAAGACACCGCATCGTCTGAGCTCCATAGTAGCGATCCATGGGCACATCCATTTGGCCCAAGGTATCACTCTCCTGGCGGTTCTTTGCGCTCATTATGGAACTTTAAAATATTACACTTGGATATCGATTGGCTTGTAGACGGATAACGAAAATGTGACAGCAAACAAAACGATCTATTGTTTTCTTCTGTTTTTAAACAAAACAAGAAAGGAAAGCTAACTTCGGGCGGAGCCGAAGTTTATATACCCTTGCAGTTAAAACCGGATATATATCGCAAACATCGAATATAGTTGGCCGATCCTTATAAGAATATGATAATATAACCCAATTTATTATAATACAAAACCTAAAAATGTCCCAAACTTCTATCTTCAAAAACACGAAAGTTGGGTCATTTCCGATCGTTCAGTTATATGGCAGCTATGGGATATAGTCGGCCGATCCTAATGAAATTTGGTAGGTTGGATCAACTGACCAAAAATATAATCTGTATTAAATTCCAGCTTTCTATCTTCAAAAACACGAAAGTTGGGTCATTTCCGATCGTTCAGTTATATGGCAGCTATAGGATATAGTCTGCCGATCCTTATGAAATTTGGCATGACGGAATGTGTTGCCAAAAATAGCTCTCGTGTAAAATTTGAACTCTCTAACTCTAAAAACACCAAAGTTATACCATTTCCGATCAATCAGTTATATGGCAGCTATAGGATATAGTCGGCCGATCCGGGCCGTTCCGACTTATATACTGCGTGCAAAGGAAAGAAGGGTGTGTGCAAAGTTCCAAGACGATAGCTTTAAAACTGAGAGACTAGTTCGCGTAGAAACAGACAGACGGACAGACAGACGGACAGACAGACGGACAGACGGACAGACGGACAGACGGACAGACGGACATGCTTATATCAACTCAGGAGGTGATCCTGATCAAGAATATATATACTTTATAGGGTCGGAGATGTCTCCTTCACTGCGTTGCACACTTTTGACCAAAATTATAATACCCTCTGCAAGGGTATAATGATGTGCCTGGTTTTTGACGCATGTTTGTGGAAAATCTACAAATTGTTTAAGGTCTTCCGCTAAAATATCGGATGATTTTTGCCAAAGATATAGTCTTCGCAAGGGCCAAAATTTGGCTCCAATTTTAAATTGTGGATTTTCCGAATATCCCCACTTTTGCTCCTTCCGATGGCCATAGCTCTGCCAATTTGTATCCGATCAAGAAACAAAGTACCATTTCGTAATCAGCAAACCCAGAAGCGACTTTCCTCTCCCAAAACATGGCTTAAATATGGTTTTCAAAATTTTCGAATTTTTTGCAAGGGGTTTCCCCAAAAAATAGTGGATTTTCTTAATTTCCCCACTTTTGCTCTTTCCGATGGCCATAGCTCTCCCAATTTGTATCCGATCAGGAAACAAAGTACCATTTTGTAATCAGCGAACCCAGAAGCTACTTTCCTCATTCAAAACATTGCTTAAATATGGTTTTCAAAATTTTCGAATTTTTTCTTAGGGGTCTTCCCATAAAAATGTGGATTTTCTTAATTTCCCCACTTTTGCTCCTTCCGATAGTCACAGCTCTGCCAATTTGTATCCGAGCTGGAAACAAAGTACCATTTTGTAATCAGCGAACCCAGAAGCTACTTTCCTCATTCAAAACATTGCTTAAATATGGTTTTCAAAATTTTCGAATTTTTTCCTAGGGGTCTTCCCATAAAAAGGTGGATTTTCTTAAATTCCCCACTTTTGCTCCTTGAGATAGCCACAGCTCTGCCAATTTGTATCCGATCAGGAAACAAAGTACCATTTTGTAATCAACAAACCCAGAAGCTACTTTCCTCATTCAAACATTGCTTAAATATGGTTTTCAAAATTTTCGAATTTTTTCCTAGGGGTCTCCCCTATAGAATTGTGGATTTTCTTAATTTCCCCACTTTTGCTCCTTCCGATAGCGACAGCTCTGCCAATTTGTATCCGATCAGGAAACAAAGTACCATTTTGTAATCAGCGAACCCAGAAGCTACTTTCCTCATTCAAACATTGCTTAAATATGGTTTTCAAAATTTTCGAATTTTTTCCTAGGGGTCTTCCCATAAAAAGGTGGATTTTCTTAAATTCCCCACTTTTGCTCCTTGAGATAGCCACAGCTCTGCCAATTTGTATCCGATCAGGAAACAAAGTACCATTTTGTAATCAACAAACCCAGAAGCTACTTTCCTCATTCAAACATTGCTTAAATATGGTTTTCAAAATTTTCGAATTTTTTCCTAGGGGTCTCCCCTATAGAATTGTGGATTTTCTTAATTTCCCCACTTTTGCTCCTTCCGATAGCGACAGCTCTGCCAATTTGTATCCGATCAGGAAACAAAGTACCATTTTGTAATCAGCGAACCCAGAAGCTACTTTCCTCATTCAAACATTGCTTAAATATGGTTTTCAAAATTTTCGAATTTTTTCCTAGGGGTCTCCCCATAGAATTGTGGATTTTCTTAATTTCCCCTTTTTTGCTCCTTCCGATGGCCACAGCTCTGCCAATTTGTATCCGATCAGGAAACAAAGTACCATTTTGTAATCAACAAACCCAGAAGCTACTTTCCTCATTCAAACATTGCTTAAATATGGTTTTCAAAATTTTCGAATTTTTTCCTAGGGGTCTCCCCATAGAATTGTGGATTTTCTTAATTTCCCCTTTTTTGCTCCTTCCGATGGCCACAGCTCTGCCAATTTGTATCCGATCAGGAAACAAAGTACCATTTTGTAATCAGCGAACCCAGAAGCTACTTTCCTCATTCAAACATTGCTTAAATATGGTTTTCAAAATTTTCGAATTTTTTCCTAGGGGTCTCCCCTATAGAATTGTGGATTTTCTTAAATTCCCCACTTTTGCTCCTTGAGATAGCCACAGCTCTGCCAATTTGTATCCGATCAGGAAACAAAGTACCATTTTGTAATCAACAAACCCAGAAGCTACTTTCCTCATTCAAACATTGCTTAAATATGGTTTTCAAAATTTTCGAATTTTTTCCTAGGGGTCTCCCCTATAGAATTGTGGATTTTCTCAATTTCCCCTTTTTTGCTCCTTCCGATGGCCACAGCTCTGCCAATTTGTATCCGATCAGGAAACAAAGTACCATTTTGTAATCAGCGAACCCAGAAGCTACTTTCCTCATTCAAACATTGCTTAAATATGGTTTTCAAAATTTTCGAATTTTTTCCTAGGGGTCTCCCCATAGAATTGTGGATTTTCTTAATTTCCCCACTTTTGCTCCTTCCGATAGCGACAGCTCTGCCAATTTGTATCCGATCAGGAAACAAAGTACCATTTTGTAATCAGCGAACCCAGAAGCTACTTTCCTCATTCAAAACATTGCTTAAATATGGTTTTCAAAATTTTCGAATTTTTTCTAGGGGTCTCCCCATAGAATTGTGGATTTTCTCAATTTCCCCACTTTTGCTCCTTCCGATAGCCACAGCTCTGCCAATTTGTATCCGATCAGGAAACAAAGTACCATTTTGTAATCAGCGAACCCAGAAGCTACTTTCCTCATTCAAAACATTGCTTAAATATGGTTTTCAAAATTTTTGAATTTTTTCCTAGGGGTCTCTCCATTAAATTGTGGATTTTCTTAATTTCCCCACTTTTGCTCCTTGAGATGGCCACAGCTCTGCCAATTTGTATCCGATCAGGAAACAAAGTACCATTTTGTAATCAGCATACCCAGAAGCGACTTTCCTCATTCAAAACATAGCTTAAATATGGTTTTCAAAATTTTCGAATTTTTTCCTAGGGGTCTCTCCATTAAATTGTGGATTTTCTTAATTTCCCCACTTTCAAGTTTAAAAATATAAACATATCTTGACTTGTTATCATAGCGTTTATAGCGAAAAATGATCTACAAAATATATTTTTTGGGTAATGGAACTACTTTAATTTGGCGGGAGAACAAGATTACATATCAGGGGTTGCAGCAACACTTCCAGGACTCTTCGACCTTGAACCAGTAGAGAACCTCGTGGCGGTACTTTTCACCTGGCTCCAGGTTGATTGAGGGAAACTCTGGGTGGTTCATGGAGTCGGGGAACTTCTCCGTTTCCACGCAGAAGGACCCGTGGCGCACATAATGGGTGCACTCCTTTCCAATTATTGGATTAGCGCCGGCTTTCTCATCCGGCATATTATTTGCTGTGTAGAACTGCATGCCCGGCTGATTCGTCCAGACCTCCAGGACACGACAACTGGGCGGATGGACGATCTTAGCCACCTTGGTGACACTCTTTACCAGCTCTCCACCATTGACTACAAAACAGTTGTCATATCCCTGGATGGGTTTGTTTTCAAATTGCCTGAGACGGTCTCCGATGAGAACAGGCAACCTCAGATCATAGACGGTATCTTCCACATCCAGTAGCTTACCGGTGGGAATCTGGGACTCATCGGTGTCCACAATCTTATCGGCCGCTATCTCCACGGTGTGCTCCGAGAGGCCCTTGGCTCCGGCTCCGTGTCCAGCCAGATTAAAGTAGGCATGGTTGGAGATATTCACCACAGTGCTGCGGTCGGTGGTGGCCTCGAAGCGCACCCAGAGTCGGTTTTCGTTGTCCAACTGGTAGGTGATGAAACAGGTCAGCTGGCCCGGATAACCCTCGTGTCCGTGGGGGGACACATGCCGGAAGATGACACCATCCGGAGTCTTTTGCGCCACCTCCCAGATCACGCTGTCAAAGCCCACAAAGCCACCGTGCAGTTGGAACTGGTCCTAAAGATGGATCATATTACAGTTGATGTTGATCAGCTATTTCCATAAAATTTACCTTTATGTTCTTTGTCACTTGGATCTTGGTGTCGTTGGCTGTATACTCTCCATTGGCCACTCGATTGGCGACACGTCCCAGGGTGCCTCCAATGTAAGCCGCCTTTGTGGCCACGTAGCTGGCAATGTCATTGAAACCGAGGCAGACATCGTCCACCTTCTCGTAGGCATCCGGCAGCCTAACACTCTGGATTATGGCACCCAGCTGGATAACCGAAACGGACATGCCCTTGGCGTTCTTTAAAGTATAGCGACGCACCATTTCGGGGTGGTTGGTGAACGGATTAACCGCCAGGCCGAAGATCTCCTCCTCCAAGGTGATTGACATTTCGCTAGTGTTCTGGCTCGCCGATGATCGATGTTCCTTCCCCTGAAAACGCCTGACAGTAACTGCCGGGTGTCTGAGCGTCACCGATCCGAAATACCTCTATTTGCTAGTAAATTATTAGCTGATTACGGAGCACCAAAGTCGTTGGGGTCGCGAGCTTCTCAGGCAAAGTCAAATCGGGCAATTAAATGTCTAGCGCCAGCTGATTGCTTCTGATTCCCCCTATCTCCGGAATTGTTTACACCCACAATTAAAAAGGGGGAGAGGTTATCAAGGCTGAATCAGACCAGACAACAACACCTATTACATACATAAAACCGTCTCAGGGGGCGCGACAAACATGTTATGAATACAAAAAAATATGAAAGATTACTAGGCTAATCTTTACTTTGCTTAGATAACAGCTTGCTTTTTTTATTTACCCTAAAACTAAAAAGGTAATTAATTTTTTTTAATTGATATATCATATGATAAAAAGCTTTGTTTAGATAAAGCTTTCCAAATTATGACTAATTAATCATTTTAAACTATGAAAGATTTAAAATATAATACATAGAACTAATAATTTTAACATTTCATATTTTTGGTAGTGCTTTCCTTAAAAAAATTTTTTAGCCTAATTTATTTAAAAAATATTTCTGTTTCAAATATTTAATAATGATTTATTTAAACATTAAATATAAAATTTAAATATTTATTACCAGTTCAAATATTTTCGTGACCGCGAAAAAGTCGTCTACTTTTGGGGGATAAAACGGTCACTTTATAAAATATCAGTGAGGGGAGAAAGTATCGATAGACCGATTGGGAATACATCGATGTTTCTCCACCTCTACGAGTTACTCATAACAAACCGGACTCATAAAACTCATTAGAAAGGACCCCTTCCAACCCAGCGAGGACGTCGACAAAAGCCCAAACTCCAAACACGCACAGACCAATGCCGAAGAATGGGGACGCCGGCCAGCGGAGCGGTTCTGGCTCGGGGTCCGGAAATGGAGCAACCAGCGATGGCTGCATTTATCCGGACGACGTCATTATGGGCGTGGGAGTTGCATTCAACGTGCGGTACACGGGATGTGTGGAGGTAAAAACCTCTATGAAATCTCTGGACTTTGAGACTCGCACCCAACTGGCGAGGTTAGTATTCCTTATCAATTTATATTTTTCGAATATGTATATAGTTTCCGGACTATCCTTCCAGAGAGTGCATAAATCGGGTGTGCGAGGCTGCTGGACTAAAGTCTGCCGGCAAACGAAGATTGTCTAGCTTCATTTCCGATCGTCCCAGCATGCAACATGCTGGAACGAACATCATTATTAATGTTTCAAGTCGGGCGTTAACACTGAGTAATGTGGAATCGGGCGAGGTTATAGCTAACCACAATATGCCGCGCATATCGTTTGCTTCCGGAGGCGATAACGACACCTTAGACTTTTTGGCCTACATAGCGAAGAATGAGGATGAGTGGCGTGCCTGTTATGTACTCGAATGTGCTGGTGGACAGAGCGAAGATCTGATCGTGACCATAGGCAAGGCCTTTGCCTTGAGATTCAACGCGCTGAGTAGGTTGAACGATCCAGCGGCAGACTGTAACATCAACCAAAGTTGTAAGGAGAATGTTAAGGAGTACTACAACGACTTGCCCAACAAGCTGCCGCCGGATTTGCCCGATCAGCAGCAGCAGCAGATCCCTCTGCAACCGCACGCACCCCGAGTGGCTCAGCTTAATCTGAAAAAGCCTCGCGATCGCTTAAGCAGCAACCTCATCGACCTCAACTCCCCGCCTCCCGACCAGACTACAAACAAATTATCCCTAGGACACTTTGATCCCTTACAGGTACGAGTACATAAGCCAAAACTATAGAATACCCATGAATAAAAACGAAAACTGCTTTAACAGGCCATCCCTTCCTCCGCCGGACCCATTCGCGACGTTTTCGATGGTCCACAGTGCCCTTTAACTGCCGAAATATGGTTTCATGCAGCCATATCCCGACCCATAGCTGAGCGTCTGCTGCAGCAGGATGGAGACTTCCTGGTGCGCGAGTCCCAGGGGAAGCGCGGCCAGTACGTACTGACCGGATTGGAGGGCAAGACGCCCAAGCATCTACTTTTAATTGATCCCGAAGGCGTGGTTCGCACCAAAGATCGCATTTTTGACAGCATCAGCCACTTGATAAACTACCACTGGGCCCACGCCCTGCCCATCATATCGGAGGATTCGGAGCTGGTTCTACGAAATCCGGTGCGCAGGCCCACCCCAGAACAAGCTGCGCCCCTTGCAGCAGCAGCATCTTCCTGAGTCGACATCGACGGGCACAATCACAACTTCATATACATAAAATACATATATATATATATTGTATCTGTGTACACGCTTAGATTTACATATTGTGCACTCGTAGAGAATATCTTTTATATATCGTCTGTATAGAAACGAATACAAAACCCATTTATTTATGGATCGAATATACACCCATTTACATATATGTACGTGCATGTCTACAGTATTTTCCATTCGAATGCGAATAAAGAATAGAAACCGTAACGGAAACCTACATAGATCGGGGGATTCTTAAGTATCTGGAAAGTGGAGATTGTCACGTCGGAAATGGTATCATTCTTTTCTATTCCTGAGCTTCCTTTTCCTAAACATATTTTCCACATTATTTAATGGTTTCTGAACTATTTTTCTTTAGAATTCATGGTCATTGCCAGCTTATAAGGCAATATTATTATTCATCACAACTCATTTCTCCATTTCTCTCCGGAATTCCAATCTTTGTGACTCATCTTTCACCAATTTTTTGACTGAATTAAACACAAATTTTTCAAAATGCACTTCACACAAGTTTTTTATTTGTGATTCGATGCAAAACCAATCAGAACTTCCTCATCTAGGCGCTATAGAAAAAACTTAGTTGCGACGTCCAAAGTTGTTGGTGTTGGGGTTGGTGAGCTGGAGTCCACGGATGTTGTGGAAGTCCAACAGCTTCAACATCTCCTTGGTGTCGGCATCGACCTCGATGATGTCCTGCTCCAGAGCGGAGACAGCCGGGACGTAGTTGTCGCGACGCTCACGCTCCTCCTCCTGCAGCTTGATGGAGATACCGCGCACCTGGGAGTGACGCAGGCGACCCATCAAGTGGGTGACATAGCTACAGAAAGAAGATATTATAAATTAGTATAGTTTTGTGAATAACTGTGTAACTGGGCAATGATGGAGTAATACTTTTCAGTCAAGAGAGCCACTAATGAGCATTTATAATTCAAATTTTGATTGGCCATGCTTCTGTCAAACTATTTCCATCATTGCTCGAAGTAATCTCAGGCAGAAACTCACCCGGCAATCTTGTTGCGGAGGGGCTTGGTGGGAATGATGGCCACCTCCTCGCAGATGCGCTTGTTGGTGTGGAAGTCCAGCGTCAGACGCGTGTAGTACTTCTCAATGATGACCTTAGCGGCCTTCTTCACCGTCTTGGTTCGTACACGACCCTAAGGAAAACAAATCATTCGGTGATTACTCCTTTCACACAAACACTTGTTATTTTTGAGCATTTTGCATCCAGCTACTATCAATGCCGTTCAACGGGGTGCGCATGGGCTGCGTCCGTACAGAATGGCTACCGGAGCGGCTTAAAAAGTTCACATTTTTCCCGCACACTCACCATTTTGTTTCACGATTTCTGGATATATCGAAGTCCGCCTTGAATCTACGGTAAAAGAGCAATATAATTATAATTTTAACGCTCGAAAAATAGTAAAAATTGCACAAAATATAGCATAAGCCACGTGGGGCGTACGTACCTAGGCAAAATGAGAGGTTAAAAAGAAAGAGACCAGATCGCAGGGCAAGTTAAATGGCAACCTCCAGGGCTACTAAAAAAACTCATTGTAACGGTAGTTGGTAACACTAATTGGCCTAAACAGTGCTGGGTAAGGTAAATGGTGATAAGGGACATTTCGCCCACCATTGTTGCCAACTTAGATATTTTACAGCAGAATTTTGTCTTGTTTTTAATGAAAAATAACATAAACTTACCAGTTTAAGATGGTAACAGGTTCCAGGTTCTGTTAATTTGAAAAAATTGATATTTAAGATGTAGTTAGAGACGATATAAAGCTATTTTTTATGTTAAATAAATATAAAAACATATTTTAGGGTTTGAGATACTTTGAATATTATTAATTTATGCATCTTAAAAAGATTCCTTCTCCACTTTTGTTAAAATCGGGTTTCAATGGACCACATTCGATAAGTGTTGAAAAACGTCGCTGTTTTTTTAAGCTTTTTATTTTTTCCGTTACGTTGTTACGAGCAACGGACCAATCAATCAATAATGGCAAATTTCCATCGATTTGTGCCTGGAATAGGATGCAAAAAGCGGGCTCCAACGATGGAGCTGGCGCTGGCCAGCCAGAGGAGCCACCAACCGCTCCTCCGCAGGCTCCAACCAGCTCGCAACGTTCCTTCGACTCGGGGAGCAGCGGAAATGGCGCCGACTTTCAAATCAGTTTGAACGACTTTCTGGAGTTTTTAAAGCTTAGCTGTCATGTGAATGATATGATAGCTAAGGCTGACATGGGGAAACCACACAATAGGGAGCCAGTGCCTCCGATGGAGGGCTCCGGCTCGTCCACTTCCACATCAGGAAAACGAAATTCCAAACGAGAGGACTTTGATTTCGACCATTTGGCGGACAACCCATTAGTGAACGAGCTGCTCGGGCTGCGGCGATCGTCCTCCCGGCGCTCCAGTAGCCGAACTACGGATGACAGTCGGTCAAGTTTACTGCTGGAGGCTAGAGCAGGAGGACTTCCCCGAACGGGTCACAATCATGGCAGTCGCTCCTCCCGAACGGAGACGTCTTATCGCGGATTGCATCCGAAATTGGCGGAAAAACTGGATGCGGTGATCAATGAAGGTGTCTTGGACTCGGTATTGGCCTTCATATGCCCGGTTCCGTTTCCTACGCAGCTGGCAGTGAATGGCGGCCGTGGCAACAAACCCAAGCAACTGCAGGGACCCAAGGAGCTCTTCTCGTTGCCAGCACCTTCGCCGAACCAAACTCCGGCTTCCTCTCCCATGCCCGGGGCAGCGGCAAACCTTCCCTCTGGAGCAGTCAAATCGATGATGGAATTAGGACACTCTCACACGGTTCTTCCAGCGACTTCTTCATCATCCCCATGCTTGCAGCAGAACCATGGTAGCGGCCCCGATCCCATCCACCCCAATCAGATCACCAACAGCATGGTGAGGGCTATGCTGAAAGAACCAATTCCAAAGCCTGGAGCTCCCCCTACAGGCAGGCGTAAATCGTTGCTCTTGGTGAAGGACAAGAATTCCAGGCAGGAGAAGAAGGAGTAGGTACTTTTTTAATGTTTTTGGGATTCATAATTATTTCTCCCAATATTTAAAGACCCGAAGTGGTAATCCACGTCTGCGATGAGGTGAAGAACACCTCGAGGGACTTCACCTGCCCGCAGCATTTGCTCGTTTCCAAAATGGGTTACTTTGCGGATGTCACTGCTGGCCAGCGACTGGAGGAGATGGACATATCCGTGCACTGCGACATTCTCATCTTCGACTGGCTAATGAAGTGGATCAAGCACAGTGCCCAGAGTCAGGATCTTCCGGGACCCGGCCAGAGCCCCGGCCCCCAGCTGGACGGCAACAATGTGGTGCCCATCCTGGTCTCAGCCAGTTTCCTGCAAATGGAGCCGCTGCTTCTGGAGTGCTTGGCCTTTTGTCACGCCCACCTGAGCGAGGTGGTGCGAACCTCCACCAACCTGTCGTGCCTAAACGACGCTCTCGTCACCCGGCTAGCCGCTATGTTTACGAATCTGGAGCTGGAGATGGTCAGGGACAAAAAGGAGAGAGTTACTCCGCGCCTGTGGACAAAACTGATACAATCTCTTTGCGAACCGGATCCGGAGGCGTTGCGCGGCCACTTCTACAGCATGTCCGGGTTGTTCCGGTGCTCCCGCTGCTTCAACTGCGTCACCAACACCATGAAGTCCTACGTCAACTGCTTGCCCAGCAACATTCGCCTAAATCGATGGGGCCAACTGATGAGCCACCATGTCCGGGACTCCAATTGGGATTTGAGCGCATACATCGTCCAGCTCTTCAAGGAGCTCAAATCCTGGCGAAAGGTCTACTGGAAACTGTGGGGTCACTGCCATTATCTCTATTGTTGCACTTGCGAGGCACACTTTCCGGTATACCAGATGCACTGGTGCCGCTTCCATCCGGAAGCTCCTAATTTCCTGGGTCCAGTTGGTAATGCTGGACCGGCTGGACGATATGCTTGTTGTGGCCAGCAGGCCTTTCGCTATGAGACGCTACCGGGACCGAATGTGTGTAGGATCTTGGAAGTATTTTCTTTAGAAACTAATGTCCTTTTTTTAGGGATGCCAGTTTCGAGAGCACAGTGTCCTGGTGGAGACCGATAGAGAACGAGCCATCCTGGCCATAGCCCAGCTGGTCGGCGAGAACTACGCCCTCTGCGAACCGCCTCCATTGAGAATCCAGGAAATGGCAGCCGCTGGAGAGATCTGCCCCAGCTGGCAAGGAATATCCCTTACACCCCAAAGATGCCGCCAAGGCCTCTTGCCCCAGCTCTGCATGGACAGCGTTCTGAAAAGAGGTAATATATAATGGACAGCATGATCTATTAATTGTGTTTCTAAACCCCATGCAGTCACCAACCACCGGGTGAGCCGCAGGATGCGAGGCTCGCGCTATCAAATGGACACCAGCACCGACTCGGAAACGACCTCCACCAGCGAGGATGATGCCAGATGCCTGCGGCCTCGAGCTCGCAATGTCCATGACGATGACGAGGACTTTAGTTCCAGCAGCGATGGTTGCGAATCAGATCACCGGCCGCCGCCGAGAAAAGCGCGTGGGAAGAAGTCCCGCAAGCGGTAAGATTCTACATTTCTTATCCAACAAAGTAATCCCCCCTATTCGGTGGATTTTCAGTCCCACCGACGTATCTGGTCGTTTCTGGTCAGGAGAGTTGTCAGCCCGCAGCAACCAGGATCACCAGCGCGACTTCGAAGAGAAGATCATGAAGCAGGTGGCCACCTATGTGACCAAGAAGACGGGCACGGATCAGTGCCTGGTGCAGAATGCCCAACCATTGGGCGGAACTTATGTGCGCCTCGAGTCCGAATGGAAGGAGATGATGAAAACTCGGCACAGCCACCACAATATGCTGGGTTCGGTTTCGGGCGGCACTGCCATGACCCAAGGTAGCAACACCTGTCTGGGAGCAAATATAGCATCCGGCGGATCCTCCATGTCCGTCATGTCGAAGCAGAAGCACAAGTAGACCCCCTTTGCGGCGGACGTAGTTTGTTTGAATTGCTTAGCAAAAATTGTAGACCAAATGTTTAGTCAGACACTTTGTAGTGAAATGTTTAGCGTAAATCACAATTAGAAAAATTAAATGATTATATTATGTCTAATTAGTCCAGTTACACATTTCTTAATATTTGTTTATTTATTTATTAACTTAACGCAATTTACAAAGACTTCGATTTGTTATACACTTCCATTTTTCACATTGAATTTTTTAAGACATATTTTGTGGCATAAATTAGGGTTGCAAAAGTATGGTTTAAGACGGGATCTTGCAAGTAAATGCGACTGCACATATGAAATGTGTGGATGCCATGGTACCCTGGGCCTCAGGGGACGCGCACGCTGCCTCCGGATCAACCTTCTGGCGAAACTTCAAGCTTTACAATGTGGATGCATATCAAAATAGGTGAAACTAAGTAATAAATTTACAAATTTAGGGCAATACAATTTCGGGTACAAAAACAGGAAAAATTTACAATTTGTTTGTGAGTTTCAAGGACTCTAAATTAGCATTTAGCATTCAAAGGGCATTTTAAATGGAAGGAGGGGACATGATTGTAAAGATTGCATGGCTCTGCGCCGCCTGACGAACTAGAATTTAGCTTGGTTGCCTATGTAAAGGGTTCGCTTGAAGTTGCTGATGTTGCTGGATGGATCGAGTGTCTAGTCAAGCTAACTGAATAGGCACTCGGTGGCCTTCTCCAGATTCCAGTTCTCCTTGGAAAGCACGGCCCGAGCATCGTGCTCGTCAATGCCCATGTCTTTGAGGCGTTGGATCTTTGAATCACAATCGGGAAAAGTGTGCGGCCCGCCGGCGTAGGCGTTCGTCCAGTGCTTGGCCGTCTGCAGGAAAAGATCGTACTTGTCCTTGAACTGATAGGCCACCACAGCATCCTGGGGATCATCTGGCTCGGCGGCTGCCAACAGTGCCTGCAGCGATAAGAGCACCGTGCGAAGGGTCATTGCAGCGGCCCAGTTGTCCTTCAGTATGTCCAGGCAGATGGCGCCTGTCACCGATGAAATGTTGGGATGCCAAATGCGAGTGATGAAGCGGACCTAAGAAGTAGCAAACTAATTAAGGTTTTAACTTAATAATAGAAAATGTAATACTAACCTTGGGCGGATTGAAGGGATATGTTTCGGGTACTTTGATCTCCAGGACGAATTTGCCGCCCTCGTAGGGTGTGTCCGGCGGTCCGGCAATCTCGCCCCGCAACTCTGTCCAACTGTCGTTCACCAGTTCGATTTTGATGGAACACTGCACGATCTGTCAAAATAAAACTTGATAAATTATAGTCGGTGATAGTTTAAATCGCCCTTTCCCATCAAAAACACCGTAAAATACCAAAGAGAAGCGCGCCAAAAAATGGAACCAAAGTCCGAGGACCCGTCCACCAGCTCTACCCCACTCCCCACAAATAGTGGCGGACCAGCTGGCGATGCCAACAGTTCGGGTAAGCACAAAAGTCCTTGGATTATTCTACTTTTGGACCTGTGACCCTGCGAATCCAAATCCACCCACTCACCTCCTCGCTGCGCATCACCTCCTTGAACTCCCGCTTGATACGCGATACTGCCATATTCGCCATGATGGATATATGTTATGTAGAGTTCCGTGATCTGTGTTTTGTGGTCGCTGTTCTACGTTCTCCGCTTCGTAGTGGTTCGGTTCAGTGTTTTTGTTTTTGTTGCTGCCCTCTCCTTGTTGCGTAAATTCCGCCTGGCTGGTGGCCACCTATCTGGGTCCACTCGTTCGGATTGGGATAGTGCTTTACACGAGCTCGTCCAGCACAGAAATATCAAATGGGGCGCCTCAGTTTTTCGGATTTGTTCAAAATGACTTTTTTACAGTGCTCATGTCTATTTTGCTTTGCTATTTGTTTCCCCAGCCGAGTGTGCCCACAGGGCCGCATGCGAAAAATTCTGAAAGCTCGCCGACAAGACCTATCGATTGGCGTATCGATAGGGGTTCTAGAAATTGGCGCGCAAAATTCGCAAGCTTTAAATTTGTCGTCTGACTTTTAATATTTTTGCGTTTTATATAATATTTCAAGGAATAGTGACACTTCTTAAAAGCTAGCTTGATTTGTATTTATAAATCTATTTATGAAGAGCTCAGATTTGTACTATTTTATCAACCATTGTAAGCCTTTGATATTTTAAAGCAAAATCATGTAAATGTACTTATTGTATTTATTAATCTTAATCTTAGTTCTGTTGTGACGTTAAGAATAATAATTTGCATATTTTTCTTCGTCCTTATCAATTACAAAATCTTTAGTTGCGGCCTAGCGACCCACTCAATCATTATTTTTCAATTGAACTTGTTTTGAATTCGGAGCAAAAAACTTCCACCGAGTATAGAACCCAAATACCTTTGCACCAATCAGCCACAGCTTTACGTATTATAAATAGGGGAGCTAAGGTTATTTTCCATTGCGTCTCTGATCTTGAACATAAATAATAATCAAAGCATTTTCAACCTCAGTAAGATGGTTTCATTACACTATTCTTGTCTGCCTTGTCAGCGGTCGGAAATTCGAAACTTGTTTTTGCCTTCTTATATACAAAAAAGAAAAAAAAATAAGAAGTTATTCCTCTAAGGCGTAGGCCTCCCTTGGCAACAGTCCAAAAATAATAGAAAAGCATTAATTATGCCATATACGCACTTCCACTGCTGAGAGTGTATGGATTACTGGGGAAAAAGGGTATACTCGATGATAATAAAGCTTATATTTATCTTAAATTTTCATTCTTAATAAAATAAAGATTATTAAACTATTTTTTACCCTCTAGAGGTAAAACTATACAAAAAAATTATTAAATTTTTATAAAATCTGCATAAATAGTAGGCTTATCTACCGACCTACTTTTAGGGTATGTTCCGCCCGTCTAACCTTCAACTCACAATAGACTTTTGGTGATCGAATTCACGTTTCGCGTTTTGCAAACAACTTTTGAAGAAACGTGTCGGCAAAAGCGTGTGGCTTGGAAGTTTGGAGCCAACGCAGCAACAACTAACCCAGACAACAATTTTTGACCCAAACTGAAGAAATCGTAGAAATCGTAGGGGGGATCGTAGTCCTCGTTCTCGTTCTTTATGTTCGTTGGGGTCTCGAGGCGGTGCTCCCCTTTTTCTGTTTCTCTGTCTCTCTCTGCCAACAGACCCACACAACCAACAAATGCTGACACATGCCGGTTCTCCGGGGTCTCTCTGCATTATCTGATTACTCTCACACAACTTCGAAGAAACTTCCCTCGTTGAAATCTTGAGTTGTTTGATTCATTCAGCTTTTGAATTTTCAAAGAAGTGGAGTGAACTGCACTCAGAATTTAAGCCACAAACGAAACAGTTTCTATAAAAATATATAGTTTTTATTTAATCAAATAATTGCGACATATTTGCTGCTGCACATGTTTCATGTAAGTGAGATGATGTTCATTTGTTCCGGTGACGAAAGTGTGTGGGTTTGTGAGTGCAATGTTTATCTTAAAAAACGTGCAATGCTTTCGGCACGTGGTTTTGGCGTCACCCTCCCCTCGCTCCACCGATATTTTACTATATATTGTTTTAGTTGCGTCTGTTTTAAGGCATTAGGGATATAATGTTAGGTGGAGAGTACGTCAGCATTTGCTTTCAGTTCACTTATATTTAGACACGCGAAAATAATTTAACAATTCGCATTGGCATTTCCCGTGTTTTTGTTAAGCATACCGAGTACAGTTGGACAACTAAAAATTAGGCAAAAAAACAAAAAACAAGACGAGCCCCCGTGGGCCCCCATTACTAAGACTGAGAGGCAAATAGTGTCAAATAAAATGATCGTTTCTGAATGGCAATATGATTGTTTTCATGCCAATTATTCCAATTAAAAGCCAATAAATGCTACACTGAAAATTTAATTTGATTTATTACTTGTATTTATAATATGAATTGCGCATTTGTTTGGATCTTTTGATCATTTAAAATTTTTCAAATCATAAATATTAAGAAAATATTGTATAAAATGAGAAAAAGCTCTCGCGGCAGGCCACTGCGCATCATCCTAGCATGTGCATGTGTGTGTGTGGTGGCCTGCAGTGTATATGTGTGATGGACGCATACGCCATGTTGTACCTTGCTCAGTTTGAATCGCTCGCTCGCTGGCAGATGCGGCGCTCTGGTGCTAATCTGTGTATTTATTCGCCAAAGCGGTGCAGTTAACTAGCTGAGCCAAAACAGCTGTGAGTGCGACTTGTTGTGAATTTTCTATTTTCGCCATCAAACGGGCTCCACGATCTCAAAGTAAAAAGATAATTGATAACATTATAGATCCATCTAAGAATGCCCGATAAGAAATGCGCTGAAACAGAACAGAATGGTGCGTAATTTAATCCCACATCCTAGAAATCCAATTATATCCTCATATTTGTGTGCGTGTGTGGGTGTCGTTTTCATGGCCAAATCGAACAGCTGTTTTCTGCGCGAAGCTTTTTTTTTGGCGCGCGCCTGTTGGCATGCCGCATTTTTTTTTTATGCTCGAAAATGTCCTTATTCTGACATTTCTTTTGATATTCAAAAAAAATTTATATAAATTTATATAGAAATATATAGATATCTTTATATTAACATTATTTTCATCCCAATATTTAATAAATAGTTTAAAATATATTTAAATTTAAAAAAAAAGGACATGAAACAAAATATTAATTAATTTAATTTGCCTAATATTTAGTTAAATTTAAAAAAAAAAATACTCAATAAATAAATTTTAAAAAAATATTAGTGGCGATAGTTTTTTAGTTCCATAGAGAAAGTTCGTAAAAATCACATGGTCAGGAATGGGGTGGCTTTTATTTTGAGTACAAAACGAGGGAGAGCCAGAGAGCGGAGCGTTGGGGAGCCTATGTACATGCGCCGTTGGAGCTCTTAGCGGCGCTGTTACTCTCACGCTGCCGCACACCGACGCACACGGACAGAGGGTTACACACACACCTTGACACACCGATAAGACGGCGGCAGCGCTGCCCGCTGTCTGCTGGCGTTGCGAAAAAAATTTATAATAAAAACTTCTACTCGCAGATTGTGTGATGCCAGTTCGCTCTGCTAATCCGATTCGCGCTAGAAGTTTGATCCGAGACAATTTGGAGAAACAGGCTGGTTGTCTAAATTTAATCCACTCCAGAATGCCGAACATCAAAGTGTTTTCGGGCACCTCGCATCCCGATCTGGCCCAGCGGATCGTCGATCGCCTGGGCATCGATCTCGGCAAGGTGGTGACCAAGAAATTCAGCAACCTGGAAACCTGGTAAGTAATATTCGATGGGGATACCCATCCTCCCCCCTCAACACACAGCGCGACCAACAAGTGAAAATCGAATTGTGATACCCGCGTTGTCCTTTCGCTATCCTGAAATCTCAAGTGCGTTTATTAAATGTGACCCCCAAAGATTGTGACGAGACATGTGCTGAGGAGGATCCTTGACATTCGCTGAAGGTTGCTCAAGGCAATGGAAAATTTTTTGAAAAATTCAAATTAGACGCGTGTAATTGATAGATTTTTCCTGAATTTTGTGGCTACCTTTTGCTTGATTTCTTTTTATTTTTATTGATTTAACAAGTGGACTGTACACCGTCTTTGTCGTTGCGCTGTTTGCCGTGTGGTTGTGTGTGTGTATATTAGGTGTGTGTTTGTTTGAGTGTGTGTGTGTGTGCGAGAGGCCCCCAAACACACAGAGACACACACACACACACTGGCACAACCACGCAGCAACATTTCCAATGTCGCGTGCAATTTTTGGCGAATTTAAATAAAAAAAAGTGCAAAGATCTAAGGGAATTGAAAAGAGACTATTTTCATTAAAATATTTTTAATTGAATTAGCAGCTGGCTAGGGGCATGTGTGTGTGTGTGTGTAAGCGAGTGTCTAGACTTGCGGCTTGCACGCTGTACGCTCCCTCTCTTTCTTGGCAATACCCCCCATCTCTTTCTTGGGCGCACTCACACACGCGCAAGCTCCGCCAGTCAGCTGCTGATGCAACAACAACAACAAATAATAAATAAAGTAGGCGCTCAGTGCGCCGAGCCGAGTCTTTCCCCATCCAAAATTCTCCTTATCAACACACACACACACAGCCATTCTTGGGCCCCCAGCCATTCTCTTCAGCTAGAAGACTATGTATTTTTTTTAAATAAAATTATAGAAAAGCTGGAACATTAGCAAACAATTAGTGGGGCAAAAGGTAAAAGAAATGAGGCGACACAAAACGAAAATAGAGGTTATAATACGCGCTAAGCTTTTTGGCATGATACGCGGTTGTCGGTGTGCGTGTTTTTGTTATGTCCGCACTCACGCACACTAACGCTACACCGTCGTAAGAAGAACAAGAGCCAGGAGCTGATTTTTTGGGGGGTGTCGGTATGTCAAATACCCTAGCATTGATCCCAAATTAAAAGGTCGAGGGGAAATGTTACAGAAATAAGATTCCTTTAAATAGGTTTTTTATTATTAAATAAAAAATAAAAAAAAACAGAAAAAAAAAAATTAAAGAATAAACTTGTTAAGCTCTTGTTAATGGTCCTCCCCCGTTGCCCCCCTTTACAGGGTATTATTTAACTGTGAGTAGAGAACCATAACACGACTCTGTCACGTTTTTCGTTTGCTGACTGAGAGTGGGAGAGTGCCTCTCTTCTGCTACGAAAGAGCTCCATCGGCAGACGTCGCGACGTCGACAGCGGCCCCAAAACATGTGGGGGCGACGTTGTGTATTGGTGTTCTCTTTGGATACCACTCTCGTTCTCACTCACTACTCTCACTGATTGTCAGACCCCCACGTGTGCATAGTGGTTGTTGCTCTGCTACTCGGTTGTTATTGTTGTTATTTTGGTACCATATCATAGGTACTATATGGTTGACTAAATTAGGGTTTATTAAACAATTACTAAAAAAATAATAGGTATTTTAATAAAATGATAAAAAAAAACTCAGCCTAAAAGAGGGCAACAAAACAAGAGTATAGTGAGTACCGGGTATCGTATAGTCGGGAAAACCCGTTTTATTCGCTTTTGTTGTTATTTTATGATAGTTTCACTTGTCGGGTCTGGGTCTTTCTAGTATTCTCCCGCAGTCCCCATGTTGACAGTTAAGTGGGGCTCACTTTACTCCAGTTTCCAGTTGTTGTAACGGGTCAATCATTGCCTTTATTTCCTTACTTTGTCATGATTGCTATTGTTGATAGCACCGAAGGCGATGATGATAATGATTTATGTCGCATGTATGTACTATATAGTTGTTGGGTTGTCTGGGCTAGAGATCAAACTATACTCAAGATTAAAGTAAATTGAAGGGCGCTGAGATGACATCACACAGAAAATAATGGAAATAAAAGCTGATCCATATTCTGAGTCAGTATGAGACATAGTTAAAGATAAGAAACTAAAGAGAGAAAAATTTATTTAAAAATTAGGTCAAACGTGAGTTATTTGTGCTATATGGTATATTTTTCTTTGAAAGATAATTAATAGCAAGGTCCAAAGGCCCAAGTACTTCTCCCATTTTTATGGCTGCACCTCAAGACCACCCACAAACGACCTTTTCCAAAGGCCAAGTCTAGTTTCAATGGCAATGCAAAACAATATTTCAATAACCCCAAATGGGGGGCTCCAATTCGAAGGTTATGCCACACGCAATTCTAAACTAGACCGACCACCCCCGCTAATAAAACCACCCGCTGCACATGTCAATTACCAAGCAGTTTCTGCTCTAAAGTTTGATCGATAAGGATTTTGCGTGTTTGTCTTGTGAGGTCGTTGGGCATCAGCGAGCTTTTGAAAGGGGCCCGGAGTGATAAGAGGCCTGAAATCAGCAGAAACCAAGCGAAAGCGATTTAGATTCCGCCAGACTTGAGATAAGCTTGCCAAATAGAGGCACAGATACGTTTGGCAACAGTTTTATAATTAACAGTCCCAACTTTATAAGAAGAATTCAAAAAATTCACAATTAACTTTAAGATTAACTATCGTATTTGATGTTAAGAGGTACTATACCATAGTCGACTGCCATAAGATCAAACAGCTTTAAAAAATGTAAACAAACAAAAGACCAAATGTGTTAAACCACGATTTGTTGAGGTGCCAAATGGTGATTCAAGTTAGAGAATTTTTCCTGTATTTATTTTTCATTCCATTTCGTTCTTATTTATTTTTTTTCAGTTTACATTATCACATGAGCAGACAGAACTTAGACCAGGGAACGAGATAAAAATACGTAAAAAACAATAGAAAACGAATTGAATTTTAGCAAAATTATTTTTGACGGTCGGCCAAAGAAACAGCTGCTAGTTTAAAAGTTGTTGCTAGGTTAGTACAGAGAGAAAAAAATAGTTAATAGAAGCATAGAAAAATTATTAAAAAGTAGGTATATTAAAAAATTGTAAATTTATTTTATTTATTTTGCTTTAAAGTTTAAAATCTCTATATATTTGTTATAATATTTACTCTCAGTGCAGTTTCTGGCGTGCGGTTGGTGTTACGCCGGCTTTTGGCGGAAAGCCAACTGTCGCAAGTCATCCTCTGTATCCCCACTCTCCTTAGATTTTTCCGACTTTTCCCGGCATGCTAACAATGTCATGGCGGTGAACGGTGAAAGTGTTTCTGCAGCCCCGGCAATCTGTTCGTAATGCATCCGGACATGGCTGATGAAATCGCTGCATTTAGCCATTAAATCTCCTGACCAATGGATTCTTCGTAGAATTGCTGAATATATTTGTTTTTGTTGATAAGCTTTAACAGAATAACCTACCAATTTCTACTAAAAAAGCATGACACGCGATTGGAGTCAGGCAGGCGTCAGACACCAGGTTCCCTGAATTTTTATATGACAAAGATAAACCCGAAATATTGGACAAATTAATTCCTACACGACACAGGTCGTTCAATCGATAGTTGTGGGTTGCTGGACGCCAATGGTTGTGGTGGCATGTACATAATTCAATTAACCTTCAATGGACAAACGAAAGCCCAAAAAACACCTTGAGAATGCGATATAGAGTGGAAATAGGTTCCATTAGAGAGTTTTTTTTTATTGTTTTTATGGTTATATTTTTATAGAAAACTTAAAAGAATTATTGTACTGCCTTAAAGTGTATATTTGATTAGTTGGCATACTTCCTCTTTTGGGTTTCGAGCTTCCTTCCGTATGTTTCTCCCCCTTCCCATCGATTGGAGTCTAAATTCTGTATCTTAAAACCTATACCCATAACCCAAACCAAAACAAAACCAAATGTAAACAAAATAATAAACGTAGCAGCTACGTTGACGCCGGCGTCGGATGTCAGTGCAAATATTGCGCATACGCCCTGTGTGTGCGAGAGAATAAATAGGCTTCGATTAGATTGCTGCGGCTTGCAGTTTCTTGGGGCGTCGTCAAAGGTCAACAATGCTGGGCTGGCGTAGATTAACAATACTATGTGGGAGGGGCTATGTCTTTGAAAAAGGATACGTGTTTTGACAAGACATGCGAGCTTCTCAAGCCAAACAATGGAATCTTCCACTCGACACTTAATATGATAATTCGATATATGATACTTGGATATTATATTCATTTTTACGTACACGTAGCTCCCATATATGTAGCTCTATGACGCTTACCCGTTCTTGAAATCTGTCTTTGCAGTGTGGAAATTGGGGAATCGGTGCGCGGCGAGGATGTGTACATCGTGCAGTCCGGCTCCGGCGAGATCAACGATAACTTGATGGAGCTGCTGATCATGATCAATGCGTGCAAAATCGCATCAGCCTCTCGTGTTACAGCTGTGATTCCTTGCTTTCCATATGCCCGCCAAGACAAAAAAGACAAGGTAGGTTTGCCTCAACACGATCCGCCGGACACTAGAGCGGTATATCCTTACAAAATGTATCTATGCCCGGTCTGGGCACACGTGCAAAGAAAACAATTAATTCTAGATCAGACGCCCACACACAAATACTATACTACTGATATTTTGGGAAAGAAAAAAGTGCCAAAGAAAAGCGTAAACTTTTCCCTAGAATGTGTTCTTATTTCCCCCCCAATGTTTAGCTCGATTTGTTAATTACTGTTTAATCAAACGATCTACTATATATATCCTTTATACTACTATACTTCTCTTTTTCCTCAGTGTGTGTCTGTATTCCTAATGCATTTTGTTACACGATGTTGTATTTAATTTTCAATTTGCAACGAAGCTAAGCTAAAAAAAAAACTATTGTAAAAAAAAATATATATTTATAAAATTAAGCCAAGCTCAAGCACGTAATTGGAAAATGTGGAAAATTTCAATAATTCTGTGTATAAAGTGAAATATTTTTCTTAATTTTAATACTCCTGTCATTTTTGATTAAGTATTTAATTTATTTTTTAATCCCTTGCCATGCTCGATCTTTCTCTTTCTCGCCCTGCTGTTGCTATCTCCCCCTACCTGCGCCCGTGTGCGTCTGTGTGTGTGCCTTGGTGTATTTCTTTCTCTTTCTCTGTTTCTATTTCGATCTCTCTCGCTCTGTGTATCTGCGCGAAGTTGCCGGGCAGTGAGGATAATGTGGAAAGCAAGAAACTAGCCAAGAAAAACTACGATTGGAAATTTAGGGTATTTACCTTCAACCTTTTTTTCTTATCTACCATATCTAAACTAAATGATATCCTCGAAACCACTAAACTCTCACCCGATTCACACTTTATGTTCTATCTAGTATAATATCTAATGGGAAATTTCTTATTAATTTTCTTTCAATCAACCACGATGGGAATATCAAAAAACCGGAAATCTCATCCTCAGAACTCAGAACTACTCATAACGCACCGAAAGGAAATTGGGTCTCTCGTCCTGGCTTAACAAGTTCCCCTCTAGAGAAAATTCGCTTATTGTTGCCTATGCATGTCCTTACACCTTTCTCCCTCTCCCTTATCCTTTTTACCTTAAAACTAATGCAAAGTAATACTAAATTATTGTTAAAAAAAAATCCTTCCCTGTAATTGGTGACGAATTAACAAAAGTTTTCCACATTTTTTCGTTATTGTTTTGTTTTTGGCGATGCTTCATTGCAATCGGAAAAATACCCAAAAGATTAAAACCAATTCAAATATTTAATGATGAAGAATAATAAATTATAAATATTTTTGTTTGTGATGTTGACTGCTGACTGTTTGTTTGTTTGTTAATTGTTGTGATCCTGCACTTGTACTCGTACTCTTATCGGGCCCCGACAACAGCCCCCAATCGGGCTCAAAAATATATTTTCCAATTCACTTGATTAAGTTTTCCATTTCTGAATCGGTTTATAGATAATCCACTCTGACGTCAGTTGATCCGGCAATGGGGGGCAGAGCTGCTGGCTGAACCCTGGGGGTTAAGCGCAAAATGCACAAATATTTTTCAATTCTGTAACTGATAGAACAACAATCTGTAAAAAAAACAAGCACATTGAACTGCAAACGAGTTTCTTGACATTGGCAGGAAATCACATACCAATTACTAAATGCCACCGAACTTTGTGATATGATTTGATTTCAGTCTTCCGACACTTGACTAACATTCTATTTTATTTTACCTTAAAATTGATTTTTTTGTTTTACCCAACCTTTGCACCCTTATTCCAATTATTTTTAATTTTAAACAAATCTGAATTATTCTGAACATTTTGTGTTTTCTTCTTTTCTTTTTATACTCTTTGTCTCTCTGTCGCATCAAACCAATATATATATACTTCTATATATAACCATAAAACAAACCTTTCGAAAATTCGAACTCTGTTGCACTTAGGAGTTTTCAGCCAAACAATATACTGTGAGTAGTCGAAGTCGGTTAGTTCCTATATCCCATGCATTAATTCAGATGCTGCTGCGGGATTTAAAAAGAACAATTTTTGCTTCAGATTATTTTTGTCTTAAGCCTTTTGCTTTGTTGCGTTCGTTAATGTTTTCTATGAGTTCATACGATGGTTTTTCAGTTCTCCCTCTAATAGAAGCACAAATGTTTACCCGATCCTACCTACACACACACCTACTATATATCCGACCGATCTTTTGCATGCCTTGTTCTCAGTTCTCAGTTCTCAGTTCAAAATCCCCCAAATTCAAAAAAAGTAAAACAAACATCCAAACCAAATAAGAAAAACAGAAGGAACTAAATTCGGAAATTGTTTGATTTTCTTTGCACTGGTTTGCATATTAACCGATCTATCTGTTAATTTATATCTCTAACTGGCGTTGCACTCTCATCACATGGGGCTACATCATACTCGACTGAATCTGAATCAGAATTCATTATTCTGGGGTACTGCACCAAATCACATTCGTCCTTTGTTCTTTTCGCAATTGAAACTCTTTTTCTGTCTTTTTGGATTATGTATCTTTCTCATAAATGCGATCGATTGGAACGTTTAAACCACTCTCTGTTGATTTCTGTGTATACATACTCTATATATGTCTGTGTCCATGTTCTATTTTAATTTCCATGGTTTACTCCTCATAATGCCTAGCCGTAAGATCTTACCAATCTATAATTATAAACTTGAAAAAGGTAATTACTAGTTGCGCTAATGGTAACCTTTTCTATTGCCTCTCTTCCTACGCTGGCCAATGCACAGAGTCGTGCCCCCATCTCGGCCAAATTGGTCGCCAACATGCTGTCCGTGGCAGGAGCCGATCACATCATAACCATGGATCTGCACGCCTCACAGATTCAGGTAAGTCAATAACTTCTATGGGGTTTAATGGGGAATATTTAAGTAGTTTAGTCAACTTTGTGGTTTGAATTCCTTCCTAATGTTTCACTTTGTAAAGTTTACTGTCATATCTATATACATATGTGCATAATGAATCTAATTAAAATCCTTAACTTTTGATTTATCAGCAATTTCAATTCGAGATAAAGAAAATGTGACTTAACGACGTAACAATTTCGTTTTGTTTATTCGATAATGGTGAAGCCAAGAAATTGTGGTTTTTAAGAATTCAAAATAAAATACAAAATATATATAGAGATATCCAATAACATGAGGTCGTCCGATGGCCGAGTCTGCTGGGTCAGTCATCTTTTGGTGGTAATGGTCACAAGGGGAATCGAACGGGAACTCACAATTGAGTCCCATAATGGAATTCGGGCAATTGTATGTTGGGCTAACTTGGGGGGGCTTCATCGGATTCGTTTTTCGGGTCAGGCTCCCATCCTGGTCCTGACTAGGAAGTGTACTTGGGCTCGGACGGGCTTTTAATATGGGTAGGGGTACTTGTATTGATCCTATTATCATCGTCATTATCGTTGAGCATTGGTCGCATAGATAGAATGCTCACCGAGAGTTTTCCCAGCTGCTCCATCAGTTCGGCGATGCGTTCCTCCTTGACCGTGATTATGCTCTCCAGATACTGTGCCTTCTGGTTGATCGAATTGATGTAGTTGTCCTTCTCCCCAGACTCACGCAGGGCTGCAGTGTATTTCTCGTAGAACACCAGTTTCCGGGGCACACTCTGTATCTTTCCGTCCACAAGGAGGTTGACGTTCATGGTGACCACTTCCGGGGGTAAATCGCTAGTGCGTTCGATCACCTGGGTCTCGGATCGGTTGAGGGGGCGATCCCGGTTCTTAATCTTTGGGGATTTGATCTCATGGTCGATCTCCTTGTTTAGTTTCATGGGCGGATTCCGCAAGTATCGAGTGCGCGGTGCATTCATCACGGCACTGGGACGAGGACTAGTTGACTTCGTCACCGACATCAGCTCATAGAAGAGAACCTCGATGGCTCCAGGGGTGGCGCTGGCCACCTGCTCCAAGGTGGATCGCGACATATTCAAGCCCAACTTCTTCAGCACCTTGCTGTTAAAGATCTCCCAGTTCTGGAGCTTCAGCGTCAGACTGCTCTTGGACATGTAATGGTGCAGATCCACCAGACGGCCGTGCGACTTCTTCACAATTTTGGCGACCGGCAGGACATCGGAGAAGTAGCGACGCGTACGTAGGTCCAGGGTGATGCCCTGCTCCCTCAGCCACTGGTCCAAGCAAAGTTTCTCCTCCGAGCTCAGCTCACGAATGTGCGTTTGTTGGGACATTCTCTTTCAAAAAATTGTGGCGATAGTTTAGGATTTAAAACCTTTTTATTTTCATTCACTCTTTTGTCAATTTGTTCTGATAGATTTTTCTTATTTAATGTTCATCGGGTCTAAACGGTTTGAGGTTTGGATTCTCAATGCCCGAAACTACTATGACAGTTTGGCATCACCTACTTGATCCAAAAAATAATGATGAAATTCCATTTCCCAGGGCTTCTTTGATATACCAGTTGATAATCTCTATGCCGAGCCGGCGGTACTCAAATGGATCAAGGAGAACATTCCCGAGTGGAAGAACTCGATTATAGTGTCGCCCGATGCTGGCGGTGCCAAGCGGTAAGTGATCTTAAAAAAGATCTTATAAGTAATCCTTTAATAATTTAATTTAAACCTTCAGTGTCACGTCGATTGCGGATCGTCTGAATGTGGAGTTCGCCCTGATACACAAGGAGCGCAAGAAGGCCAACGAGGTGGCCTCCATGGTGCTGGTGGGTGATGTCAAGGACAAGATTGCCATCCTTGTAGATGATATGGCCGATACCTGCGGCACCATTGTCCATGCTGCCGATCGTCTGGTGGAGGCTGGAGCCACCAAGGTGGGTTTACTTTAAGTTTTACGTTAAATATATATTTTAAATAAATTTTTTTTTATTATTTAGGTTTATGCCATTCTGACGCATGGCATTTTCTCGGGTCCGGCGATTTCGCGGATCAATAATGCCTGTTTCGAGGCTGTGGTTGTTACCAATACCATACCCCAGGATGGACATATGCGGGATTGCCCCAAGATCCAGGTGGGTAGCCACTAGATTGTTTATAAATCTTGAAGTTTAATAAAATATCATATTCTTGCAGTGCATTGATGTCTCGATGATGTTCGCCGAGGCCGTTAGACGGACACACAACGGCGAGAGTGTCTCGTATCTCTTCTCAAATGTTCCATACTAAGCCAGGCTAGTCCTGAGAAAGTTTAATTAAATCAACAACAATAACAGCAACAACACCATTAGCAACCTTTACAGCAATTGCAATGCAACAAGAACCACAGCAGCAACAGCAGCAACATCAGCAACAGCAACAGTAGCAACAGCAACAATTTAAAACACATATTTTGCCATCATCATCGTTATGTATTTTTTATGGATTAACTATTGTAATTAAAGCAAATGCAAACTCAGTTAATGGGGGAAATCGTCATTATGTAATTATACTATATAGGAGTCTAAAGATAACACTAAACACCACAAGCTAAGTGAACTAATAGTTAAAGGCTTTGTTCCAACTAATGATTTCTCCCCTTTCGTTTTGATTTTAAATACGATTTTTGTTTAGAAACGATAATTCCCAGTTGATTGGTGTATAAATTGGCCTGCTCTTAGAGAGAAATTTAGATTTATAGATTAACACAGTAGATGATACACCTTTAACCCTACACACCACACCCCCTAAACCCAAGCACACACACCCTCACAATCACTCACAACAAAAATATATTGTAATTTTACACTGTGCAAAACAACTTTTTGATGATTCTTAATTGTAAGTTCATGAAGAGAAAAGAAAAAAAAAAGCAAAATACTTGCAAGTTCAAAACAAAATCTAGTTAAATTAAGTAAAACAAAAAAATACAATTGAAAAGAAAGTAGCAAATAGGCGTTAAAAATCATAAACATAAAAAAAAAAACAACAAAGAAAAAATATACAAAAAAATATTACAGAAAACTAATCATGACACGTGTTTTTATTTTAAAAAAATATTCTTACTTTCTTCTAGAATTTCTAAAAAAAAAAGTCCATTTCACTTTTCAACACACTCTTTATTTACATCTTTAATGTTAGGATAGGATTGAGAGTACATAGTTGGGGATATTTGGGGGCCTGAGGTCTGTGGAAATGGTCTCAGAACTCGTCGAGTTCATCGTCGTCAGCTCCGTCGACGTTGTCCATTCCCACCTCCTCAAAGTCCCGCTCCAGAACCGCAATATTCTCACGCGCCTCGGTGAACTCGCCCTCCTCCATGCCCTCGCCGACGTACCAGTGGACGAAGGCCCGCTTCTTGAACATCAGATCGAATTTGTAGGACAGGTTCGCGAAGGCCACCGAGATGGCCGTGGTGTTGGACAGCATGCAGCAGGCCCTCGACGTTTTGGCCAAGTCACCGTCCGGCACAAAGGCCGGTTTCTCGTAGTTGATGCCGATCTTGAAGCCCGTGGGACACCAGTCCACGAACTGGATGTGCCGCTTCGACTTGATGGCCGAGACAGCTGCGTTGACGTCCTTGGGCACCACATCGCCACGATAGAGCATACAACAGGCCATGAATTTACCGTTCCTCGGATCGCACTTGACCATCATGTTGGAGGATTCGAAACAGGCGTTTGTAAGCGTGGTGATGGCATGCTGCTCGTGGGCGGCCCTCTCGGCGGACATCAGAGGGGCGTAGGCCACCAGCGGGAAGTGGATCCTCGGGAATGGTACCAGATTCGTCTGGAACTCATTGAGATCCACGTTCATGGAGCCGCTAAAGCGCAGCGAGGCAGTCGTCGAGCTCACTATCTGGGCAATGAGTCGGTTGAGGTTGCGGTAGGCGGGTCTGTCCACGTTCAGGCTATTGTTGCATATGTCGTATATGGCCTCGTTGTCCACCATGAACACACAGTCCGAGTGATCGATGGTGGAGTGGGTGGTGAGTAGGGCATTGAAGGGCTCCACCACCGCCGTGGAGACCTTCGGCGAGGGATAAACCGCAAAGTCCAGCTTGCATTTCTTACTGTAGTCGGTGGAGAGACGCTCCACCAGCAGCGACGTAAATCCCGACCCAGTTCCACCTCCCAAAGAGTGGAAAATGAGGAATCCCTGCAGGCTGTCGCACTGCTCGGCGATCTTCTGCAGACGCGACGTCACCTTATCAATTACCTCCTTTCCGATGGAGTACCGACCTCGGGCATAGTTGTTGGCCGCATCTTCCTTGCCGGAAATCAGTTGCTCCGGATGGTAAAGATCCTTCATGGGACCATTCCGCACATCGTCGATGACGGACGGTTCCAGATCCACGAAAATCGAGCGGGGGACCTGTTTTCCATTTCCCGTTTCCGTAAAGAAGGTCCGAGCATCGTTGGCCGATGTCCCGTGACCGTCGCTGGCACTGCTCCCACTGGCCATCAGCTCCTCCTTGCTCTTCAGGCTGCCGTCCAGGTTGATGCCGTGCTCCAGGAGGTACAACTCCCAGCAGGCGTTGCCGATCTGGATGCCGCACTGGCCGATTTGGATGGAGATGACTTCGCGCTGGAAAACGAAAAAATTAAGAATATGGTAGAGTCGCCATTTTAAGCCCCTAGTTCTTTGGACATCCATTCTTGAAAGATTTTCGATTTTTTGTAAGCTTTCAAAGCTCTAATTTTATTTAAAATATTTATACATTTTTTAAATGACTATTATTTAAACCTCCTTAACTAGTGCGTAACCTTTTTTTCCATCCATCTTTATTCTTAAACTTTTTTCCAAATATTTTCTTAAGATATTCTTTAATCTCACCATTTTGTGTGCTTCTTCTTGCAGATCTAAAAATTATACAATTTAAAATATTCTACACACACGGAATCAGGGATTATAGCCTTTTTCCGATTTTATTCTATTAATCCCGCCACGCTACGCGAAAAGTGCAGCCTCAGGTTCGTAGGTTGGAGAGTCACTGGAAAAGCACCGTTATGGGGAGCCAAAGAGAAACGTCAAACTGGGGAAAAAGGGTTGCAGTCCAGCAGCGATCGCTGGCTCCCCTTGGCGGCTTATCGGGGGAACTTTAAAAATGGCATCTACATTGTAGTGGGGATTTTAAAATCTCTAGATATTTAAAAACAATATTTTGTTACTTTTTTAATCATTTAATAAATATATTTGTTTTTTCAAGGCGAGTGATTTGGGTTCCTAATTTGAGACATGATTACCTTAGAAAAGAGACACCTATTCGTGCTATTTAAAAATCATACAAAAATTTCTTTTAAAGCTCTAGAGATCTCACCATGGCTTTTAACTTAAATTAGGCTTAATCATAGGGGTTTGCAGTGGGATTAAATTAAATTCATTGAACCTGCAACAAATGCATTCATAAATATCATCCTCCATAGTCCCAGACTGAGACTAGTCCTTGCTAAATCCGGGCGGGAGCGTCACATCAAACACAATCGGCGCATTATTGGGTAGGTAATTGATGTCGCACGTGGAGGCGTTCACGAAGATGATCCTGCCATCGCTGGTGATGCCGTAGCCCTCGTGGACGTGTCCGAAAACGTGGTACTTGGGTCGCACTCGTTGTTGCACGGTGCTGAGCAGCTCTACGCACCCAGCGCGCACTCCAGAACAACAGAGGTCTCCGTGACCAACGGGTGGCGTGTGGGTTACCAGGATATCAACGCCTTCGGGAACCTGGTTCCATTTCTCCAAGCAGGCAGCCCCACGTGGCACATTGAAGGCCCAACGACAGAACTCTGGCTGCCAGGGCGATCCATAGATGCGAATGCCCCAAATCTCTAAAAGTTCGTCCTCCAAATAGGTGCAGTTGGTCAAAACCTGGCGAACATTTTGGGTTTGCACAGCACTCTCCAGGTTCTCCTTGGCATTGCCCAGAGTGGGCAAATCGTCCAGAATGGACATGCCGGTGTGCTTGCTGCTCGTTGCCTTTCCCTGACTCTTCTGGAAAGGATGGGTAAAGGTTCGATCAAAGCTAAGCTCATGATTGCCGGCAATCACGATCTTGTGCCGATGTGGCAGAGCTCCTATCCAGGTGTTGAACTCCTCCACCTCCTCCAATTGCCCGCACTTGGTAAAGTCCCCGGCATGGATGAAAATATCGCCGTCCGGGATGTCAAACTTGATGTATGGTGTGAGGGAGTGGGTGTCGGACATGCAGACAACACGAGCTTTGTTCGGCGCCACTGTAGTGGTTGGTGGTTTCATGGTTACCTGGATAAATGATAAATGTTTGCAGGAATTCGATATGATTCATTTATGTTTATGTATGTTTTATTATGTCACCTTGATCACTCGCTGCGTTTTGCTGATGTCCCGCCAAGCAGCAGTGGGATCCTGACTAAGCGGATGCACGGGTAGTTCCATTGTTTAACCTGATAAGTATATTTGTATTGATAAGTTTGCCAAACAGTGACTTTTTAAAACTTAAATGCTCAAATAACTAATAGGAATTACTCACTGTTTCAAATAAAATCGGTCGTGGCAACTTCTTACTGCCTTTCTCTTAACGGTTGTCTGATTTTATCATTTTATTTGGCCACTAACCACCCATTGCAATCACCAACGACATGGTCGAGCCCTGATTATCACGCATTTATTTATGTTTAGTCAAGTATTTGCCGATAAACGTGTTCACTTCCAAAATAAAAAAAAATTGATTGACAAGCGTGACGTCACTGTCGCCGCCAAACAGCTGTCCGGTGTGTCTCAGCAGACAAAGTGCCATCACTAAAATAGTTCCACCTTTAGCAAAGATTAATCGGCAACTGTGTGTTATCTCTAACATTGCAAGCAAAACAAAAATCAGCTGATCGTCTGTTTTCTCTTCTTCTTTCCACTACGCGATTGTAAAATTTTCATGTTTAACATTTTGCATAAAAGTTTTTGAAATATTGGATAAAATCGTGGCCTAAACTGAAAATTTGTTGTTTGGAGCTTGTGTAGAAGTGACGGAGAGTGTTTTGGCAGTGTTTAATATTGGATGGCCACTCTTGACGATCTGTGAACGAAAAAAATGGCCGCAGCTGCATTTTTTATTGACGCGTCTTGTTTGCGAAAAATCCAATAGTAATTTCCAAAATATAATCGAGCGTTTGTGTCCGTCTTGGCTATAGGCCGTCTATAGCGAAAAGCTATAGAATATGGATCCATTGGAGTTTCAGGACGATTTGTTTGCATCAGAAGGTGAGTTTGGTGAGCACCTTTCGGGCCATTTTTTGTCCGCCCGTTGAGCTGCAAATCTGTGCTATTTTCGTTTGTTTCGAGAGCTGCAGTCTCTCGGTTTTATTTTTGTGTTTTTTCTGGGGTGCAGCCCCAAGCAATTAGCCGCACTTTGTTGTTTTTTTTTACGGCTGATAATTGTTTACGCCCACCTATCGCACTATAGGAAATTTGACCACTTTTTCTGGCCAAAAACCATTTTTTGAAAGTTAAAAGATTAAAAGAATTTTAACTGCATATCATTGACAATAGATTAATTTTTAATGTTGCATACCAGAAATTTTCATAGATGGCGCCACTGCGAAGAAATCTGCTGTTAAAAACAGCTGTTGATGTTAACATTTACATGAGCTTAGAATTTACGATTTTTTGCTGCCATTTTAAAAACGCGAATACTGAAAATTTTATGGACAAAATCAAAATTTTTGAAATGAATACTTTTCAATGTGGTTTGTATTATGTGTTCGTATATGTGAAGTGTCCAAAAAACTTGTGTTGTCTTTTTAATAAAGTGAAAATGTAAGTAGTCTAGCAAAAGAAATTTTTAGAAAAAAATCACATTTTTAAAAAGAGATTTAAACCAAGTCTGGCCGAGTCGGACAATGTAATTTAGTCCATGTTGTAGATTGTTTAATTTTCTTCAAATGAGTGAAATATGAATATGCCCTTTTATGCACTTTCGAAGAAATTCATAATTTAAGGAGGCAACCTCAATACCTTGAATGTAAATCTGTTAGCTGTGAGACTAGTGAAAAACTGAACAGTTAGCATGTTATTTTTAAATAGGGGGCGGTGCCACGCCCACAATTTTTTCATTTCTGAGTTCTTTTGACCATATAAACTCAAATCAAAAATCAAAATGTAAATATCTTGCATAGTTTTTGAGTTAGAATGTGTTTCTTAAAAAGTGGGCGGTGCCACGCCCACATTTTTTTTTAATTTTAAATCTATTGACCATGTGAACTCAAATCAAAAATCAGAACTTAAATATTTTGTTTCGTTCTTGAGATATTATTTTTGGCCAGAAAAAGTGGTCAAATTTCCTATAGTGTATCGTTTGTTGTTATGCGTGTTTGTGTTCGTCTGTGTGTGTGTGTGTGTTAGTGTGCTTAATAACCCTTTCTTCCTCTTCTTTAATAACCCAACCCCACCCACCGTGTCTTTTTTTTGTACCATTGGCATCTGTTTAAGCGTTTGTTTGTTCAGACTTCCTCATGTCTCAAGTGATGATTCACTTTGATTGCCGGCCACTCTCACCAACACACACAGACATTCTCATACACACAGACGAACTGCTAATCAAATCCAACAATTTATGGTTTAGGATTCACTGGGGCCGGACAGTGGAGTCAGTGCATCAGTAGCAGGAAACAGTTGGTTTATTTTAAGAAACTTGAAGCACAAGAGCCGCAAAATCGCCACAAATGTCGGTCATCCGATTATATTTAGTTACAAACACGTTTTATAAAGAATTATTATGTTTATAAATTATTATTTAAGCTTTGAAGAAATGGATAAGCCTGGGAAAAAGTTCTAGCTAATATTAAGAATGAATTGCTTATAATATCTATATAAGAAACCATTAAATATTAAAAAAAAACAAATAAAATCCAATAATGTATGTATCTTTGAAATATTGTATCTAAGGACACTGTAGATACATATACTGCAGTTTTACATCTCCGACTGCGTCTTCTTTAATTTATGGACTCCACAACTTTTTTTTTTGGCGCCCAGCAATTTTTCATTTGATCCCCCGACGGATTGATTTACCGCTATGTTAAGTCGGGACACCAACCACTCGGCGCGTGCCCCCAAATTCTATATCTTCCTGCCACACCCCCCGAGTGTGCCACCCACTCATTTGTACGATTCATTCACAAGACAACAATAAAGCAAAAAGGCGGCAAAAAAAAGCGAAAAAGCGAAAAAAAAAGTGCCAAATAAACCTTGATAATGACATTCAGCAGCAAAAGAGGAAGAAGAGCGGTAGCAGAAAACAAAACAAACGTCTGGCGTCAATGGGTTAGGATGGTATTTGGTTTTTGGGGCGGGTATATCAGCAGAACACTGAGAGAATAATTAAAATTTAATAAAAATGTAATAGTTGCATAAATTTTAAGAAAGATATTGTATAAAAACAATGTGGGTTCTATTATAACAATTATTAAACCATTAAAAAATATCAATAAAATAAAAAATAATAATAAACATAAAAATAAACACAAAAGCATTAAAAAACATAAACAAAAAATCAATTATAATAAATATCTTTGGTTGGAAGGATTAAAATTCTTACTGTGCACCGCCACCTGGCAGTTATCCAACGGATTTTGTAGCGCACTGTGGCAAAATTAGAAAATTCCGCTGCCCGCCGCTGGCCGCCCACCGACGGCTGCCGGCTGCCAGCCATCCAAAGTCAAATGTCGAGTCGTCGTTACCATCACCTGTGCGAAATTGCATAAGTTCGAGCTCCAAACGCTCGTACATCAGCTCATTTGTTTGTCCGCCGCCGAGCCAGAAAGTACAGCGACAAAAAAAAAAAGAAATAATTCAGCCAAGAAACTAGAACTAAAACCGACTAGCCCGAAATCAAGTGCGTTCTCAAGTGGTTTTTATTTTAGAATGGATGTAAAGTGCGTTCCGGTCGCGTGTTCGCCTTCTCCGATCGCGTGCTTGTCCATCATTTAATACCATAATAATATCGCGCCACCTATTCTACAGTGTGTATGTGCGGTGGGCGTGATGTAATTTGCAATAAAGGCAGTTAACTAATTTCACAAACCAATAGACTAAAGTACAGATGGAAAGTGCTCGCCAAGTGCTAATTTCTTGTACCTACTATCGTGCTATATGTGTGCCCACAATACGAATATAATCGGGACTCGCGTACATAATCAATTTAATTGTTTGTTGTTACAAAATGCGGCGGTCATTGTTTTTTGTTTGTTTATTTGTTTATTTATTATAGTGTGTTGCCGAAACCAATTTGCACCAAGTTTGTTTAGAAATTTGCTGGCGCAGTTGGCGATTTCGATAAGGAGAAGTGCTTTCTAAGTGACATAAACAGATGGTTAAGTTTTCCTTAAACCCTTTTCCTTTTCATTAACTCTGTCCTTGGTTTTCGGCGGTGTAACTTTGGCCAAAATGAATTCGGGTTAAGGACGACACCCTTCGAAGTGATGGATCCACCGTCAGCTAAGCTTCAACCTTCGCCTCGCCACAGGGTTTCTTCCAGCAAAAGGGCGGAATATTTTTCATTTAGCACTTGTCAGCGGGGGAGTGCTGGGCGGAACCAGCGTAAATTGAAGTTAATGCGACAGATAGAACCGCCTAACGTGCTAATAAGTTAGAATCCATACGGAAAAACAAAACAAATAATCAGAAAAGTCTAGTCATCTTTAGTTGCAGAGCGTACTATGCGGCGTATGAGTGTTCTTTGTAATCAGCTCCCGTTTCAAAGCGTACTACGCGGCGTATGAGTGTTATTTTCAATTAGATCAGCTGATTTCGGTTTCAATTCGCCGCACACACCATCAGCTGTTCTGCTCAATAGCGCCAACTGTCTCTCTGCCTCTCTGTCTGGCTCTCCCGCAATTGTTAATCATAATTTTAAATAGACAATAATCGTTTGTTTTGATTTTGAGCTTCCAATTTGCGAGCGTGCGCGAGTTGCTCATTTTGATACCCATTACTAGTAGATGGCGAGGGTATATGAGTATTGGATTAAAAAAAGAGAAAGTTTATTTAGTCTAGACATCTGGCGTATCATAGTGATAAAGCTATACGACTTTTTACTATGTACAACATGTACAAAATGTACAACAATTAAAAAAATAGTTTTGATGCCAAATTAGACTTAAGGCTGCTTTATATCCAGCAATCAAAATTTAAAAAAATACGTATATTTTTTTTAAAGAAGGTTTCAGTATTTATATTTCATTTCCCAACTTGAACAATCTAGAACCTCAATCTAGAATAATATTTTTGAGGGTTTATTTCAAAAGGATTCAACTTCTAAGTTAAAATTCTCGATCTATTCCTTCCCTAAAAAACTACCTTTGTAAAGAAATGGAACCTACAGGTATCCAGGTACCTCCAGGTATAAGTACCAGGTATCCCTTAGTCGAGCTTCTTGCCAAAGTTC